GGGGGGGGGGGGGGCGCTAACCTGCAATCCAGGTACATGCTCTTGACTGGGAATCAAACCCAAGACCCTATAGTGTGAGGGCCGACACTATAACCACGGAGTCACACCAGCCAGGGCTACTGTGGCAATTTGTTACCTTAAGGATCTTATAGTTTTTGTGGGGAGCTAAAGGCACATACATCAAGCAATTAAAGAAGTATATAGAGCAGTTTATCTTCAAGTGTAAGTTCAGTTATAAAATGAGCACATAAATGTTGAAAGATGCTGAATAGAGAGGGTGATAGAACCAGTTTGGGTGGCATTTGGGGATTTTGAGCCTTTTGTATGTGTGTGTGTTTTTAAGGCCCTGAGAGAATGACTTCTCATTCTAAGACTAGGAAATGGGATGAACAAAAGCCTAGAGACAGATATAAGCTTTACTTTTAGGGGATGCAAATAAATGAAGTTGCCTGAAGTAGAAGGTTCATTTGGGCAGAGGCAAGAGTTAAGTTTTATGGGAAAAAGAAATAGATGTTGGTCATAAATATTAGGAGAAGAAAAATGGCATAGGTGCCTTCTGATCAGGAAATGTCCATGGGTAAAAACAATATTTGAAAAATATTATATATCAGCTATATGTAGCTGAGAGAGATTAGAGATAGAAAAATGAGGAAAATGTATGGTATTCTGTACCCAGAGTGACAAGTAGTGTGACAATGTAAATGAAAAGAAAATGCCAAATTGGATTTGTCAGGCGACTAGGGAAGAGAGAACAGGAAAGAAAAAGTCAAAAGTGATGAGTACAGAACCATGGCAGATAGTAAGAAGAAAAAATGGGAATGGTGACTATTTCTACTGAACAGTTCCTTTTATTTTTTTAAAAAAATATGTCTTTATTAATTTCAGAGAAAGGAAGGAAGAAGGAGAGAGAGACAGAAACATCAATGATGAGAGAGTCATTGATCAGCTGCCTCCTGCACGCCCCTCACTGGGGATAGAGCCCACAACCCGGGCATGTGCCCTGACTGGGAATCAAACCATGATCTCCTGGATCCTAGGTCGACGCTCAACTGATGAGCCATGCCCGGCTGGGCTGATCAGTTCCTTTTAAAATTATTTTATTTTGTGACTAAATTATTTCAATACCTATGAGATAAAAAGATTAGAAAACAATTGGGAGATATAATGGGAAAGAGTTATTGGGTGTCATCTTAATTGAAGTGATATGATTTAATGAACTCTAGAACCTAATCCTCTGGTGATTCTAGAGGAATCTTTAAAATCTGTCCTCTGAGGGTATATCAAAGGTGAAGTTCAGTCATGCCTCTTTTGAAAGAAATTACATTTTACAGTGTGCAATTGAAAACTGATTAATATGTGATATACAGTTTCTTCCTCGATAGTATTTCACTCTGTTTATACTTTTCAATCATAGGTTATGGCACACAGCCTGTTTGGGAAAAGAAAATGAAATAATGGTATTTGGTGGGAGCAAAGATGATTTACTTTCCTTGGATACAGTAAGAAAATTTCTTATCTAAATATTTCCTCTGAGTAATTGTGTTATTCATTCTAAATGGTTATTTGACAAGAATGTTAACATTCCCACATTGCAGAATATGAAAGGGCATGAAATGTCCCTCTGTGGTGTGACTAATCTTCCAAATAAGTGGCTCGAGGGAAGCATTTCAGAATATCTTAGGTTTACAAGTCAAAATAGGTCTACTAACTTCATTAGTCAAATTACTAAGAAGAGCTTTTAAAGGTCAGCTTTTCCTTTTCTTTTCTCTTTGCATCTCCCCATAGTATGGGTGTTTATAATTTTATTGAATTAAAATATTTGTAAGTAATATTTGATACATAAGAATAATATATGTAATGTATATGTAAACTACTTAGTGTAATAATAACTACTCATGAAATTTGCTACCTAACAATAACTAGAACATCATCAATGCTAGCTTTTTCCCTCAAGAGGAAACTGCTTTGAAATGCTTAAAGTGTATTTTCTTTTTATTTTGTGCATCTTTCGCCACTGCTTCACCCGTTTTACATTTACATTTAAAGCATTCCAGTTTTAAAATCTGATAAAACTAAGGTCAAAGGAATAAATGAGTAGCTTTTGGAGAGTACTGTTCTTTCACTCCTAACATCTTTGGAAATTCAGAGCAGGGTGCCACCCTCCTCCTCTGTATATGGTGGGACAGGAGTCAGAACTGGTTGCTCTGGTTTGCATGGAACACGTGGGCATAGCAGGCCTGAGCCTTCAGGGCTGGGCTGGGTACCAGCCAGGGTCCAACCAAGCAGGTGTCCGCTCCCTTTCATTTCTTCAGGCATTGTTCCTATGGAGTGGCCTGGCGAACCCTGAAATAAGGCGGCTTCTCTCCAGGAAACTTGGTTTATTTCATGGTTCTGAGGCCTCCAATTTAAATGTTATATATATTGAAAGTTTCAAAACTTTATTTGGCTGAGAATTCAGTGCTTCAATAAAAAATTTAAACCATAACTTGCATTTAATTAAAAAGCTAATTTAGTAGTTTGTCTTCTTTTTCTTGGCACTAGAAGTCTTTACTTAGGATACAAATTTTATCATTAAGATAGGAATTCTCATTAAAATCATGATCATAAATTATGAAATTCTAGAGACTATTTGAAAGGATTAATTTTCTGCTGACTCTTCCACTTTAATTTTTCGATAGAGTCATATTCAGAAAATCTTCTAGTTCTGTGATTTTTAAATTAAGAATTCCTAGGAAATCCTGGGACCACCTGGAAAAGGGAGATGGAGTAAGAGAAGATTTAAAAATAAGAGTCATTTGGAAGAATAAAGTTATGCTTAAAAAACAAAAAAGCTTGAAAATCACTACTATTCTCATTTTGAACTCACTGTTCTAAGAGAAAAACATGTTTCTGATTTTTAAATTTGCAATTATATAGACTGGTTAGGTAAAAATTGAGCCACTGAAAAATGGTAACCATGTATCTAAAATTTGTGTGGACACAGATGTGTCTGAATGTGTATGTTTGTGCATGCATGTGTACATGTGTGTTCATAGATGGAGAGAGATTTCTGTTTTATATAATTTTTTTTACATTTACAAAATAAAAATACTCAATTTCTAATGTGTTGTTATTTTTATAAAAAACCTTGCTAACTCCTTTTTATGTTGATTAGGGTCACTGTAATGATTTATTGATCTTTCAAACCCAGCCTTATTCACTACTCAGGTAAGTAAATTCGTCATTTTCATACATACACTATTAATATATGATCATTTCTTCCTCAGTCTTTGGGAAGCTTTGTAATATTTTCCCCTAATAATCACCTGAGGATATGTTTTTATTGATTTTTATTTATTTATTTTTAAATCCTTACCCGAGGATATTTTTTCCATTGCTTTTCAGAGAGAGAGTGGAAAAGAGAAAGAGGGAGGAAGGGAGGGAGGGAGGCGGGCTGGAGAGAGAAACATCAATGTGAGAGAGACACATCGATTGGTTGCCTCCCGCATGTGCCCCAGCTAGGGCTAGGGATGGAACCTGCAACCGAGGTATGTGCCCTTGGCTGGAATTGATGTTTAAAGAGAGAGAAAGGGACAGATAGAAACAGAGAGGAAGGGAAAGAGAGAAACACTGATCGGTTGCTTCCCGTGTGCACTTCAACCAGGGATCAAACCTGCAACCTTTTGGTAGATGGGATGATGCTCCAGCCAACTGAACCACTTGGCCAGGGCAGCTTTATAATATTTTTCAGGTAATTTATGACTTGAATTTAAGAAAATGCTTAAATATATCAATGTTATTTTAAAGACTTAAACTATACAGGATAGTCACATTTTTGCTTTGCTTTTAAAATTGCAAATTTTAGTTCATATGGGAATATTAAACATACTGTATTTCCTTGATTCTAAGCCTGACTATTTTAACTTTTCTGAACTCAGAGTGTAAACACACATGCATGTATTTAATTCAGTAGAATTTCTTTTTTTATAATCCCAAAGTTGTTATTAAATTGGTGGTATGACTTATAGTGTCTTAGCTCATATACTTTCGCTTTAAAAGGAGTAAATACAAAGTTTAGTGGGAGGATTGTGGAAGAGTCCTCAATTCTGCCTGAGAGAGTTGCAAGGAAGTGTTTGAGTGAAGTAGAAATTGCCCAGTGAAGAAGTGTGGGTATTTTATGCATTAGGAATAACATGGGTGAAGGCATGGGGGGGGGAGAGATACGACGTGCTGTGTGTCAAGGAGTGTACTATAACTTCCAGACATTCTACAGGTTGAACCACTTGAAAACCAATGGACTAGCTTAAACTGGACCTTCCTGGAATCTTTCTTAACTGCTCTTTCTGTTAGTGCAATGTGTCCTGCACTTGCTGGACTTTAAAACATATTGATGCCTGTGTCCCACCCCCAAAGGTTGTGGTTTCACTGGTCTGGGGTGTAGCGTGGACTTTGGAAGTTTTTAAAGAACCCAAGGTAATTCTAATGTGCAGGGGAAGTTTGGAAATCACTACTGTAATGATTTCTACTACAGAATATTGTTACTTAATTTTTGTTGTGAACATAACTGCTTTCCCTAAGTAGACAGCAAATTTCTTATTTCCAGGGATCAAGAATTATAATATTCGAGTGCCTACCACAAGAAGACACAGTGTTATGAAATGAAAAGTCACAACCTTCCCCTTAAATTGCAAATAATATAGAAGGCAGGCATTCAAGCAACTATAGGAGAAAAGGGAAAAAACACAACCAAAAATACATTTTTTTAATTGTAGTTTTTAAATATATTTTTAAAAATTTATCTTTATTGTTGAAAGTATTACAGATATTTCCCCCTTTCCCCCCCCATTAATCCCCTCCACCCCACATCTGCCCCAGGCCTTTACCACACTATTGTCTGTGTCCATGGGTTATGCATATGTGCATATAAGTTCTTTGATTAATCTCTCCCCACCCACTCCTCCACCCCTGCCTTCCCACTGAGATTCATCAGTCTGTTCCATGCTTCTGTGTCTCTGAATCTATTTTGTTCCTCAGTCTATTTTTATATTAGATTCCATGTATGAGTGAGATAATACAAAACTGAATCAGGAAGAATCAGAAAACCTGAATAGGCTAATAACAACTGATGAAATAGAAGCAGCAATAAAAAAACACCCCAGCAAACAAAAGCCCTGGTCCAGACAGATTCACAGGGGACCTTTTGAATTCTTTGAGTTGTAGGGTTAGTTTACTAAAAAATTTTCTTGCTGTAGTGCTATGAACTTCCCTCTTAGGACTGCTTTCGCTGTGTCCCATAGATTTTGGGTGGTTGTGTGTTCATTTTCGTTTGTGTCCAGGAAGTTTTTGATTTCTTTCTTGATCTTATTGGTAACCCATTCATTGTTTAATAACATGTTATTTGGCCTCCATGTGTTTGAATGTTTTTGAGTGTTTTTACTGTAGTTGATTTCTAATTTCATACCATTGTGATTTGAGATGCTTGATATGATGCCAGTCTTCTTGAACTTGTAGAGGCTTGTTTTTTCCTAACATGTGGTCTACCTTTGAGCATGACCCATGTGCACTTGAGAGAAATGTACATTCTGCAGCTTTGGGGTGAAATGTTCTATAAATGTCAATTAAATCCATCTGATCTAGTGTGTCATTTAGAGTCATTGTTTCTGTGTTGACTTTTTTGTCTGGAAGATCTGTCCAGTGAAGTATGGGGTGTTAAAGTCCCCTACTATGACTGTATTGCTGTTGATCTCTCCCTTAACGTCCTTAAGGTTATTATGATAGGTCCTTATTAATTGCCATTTTAATTTTTTATGCGTATGTTTCTCTCTCTATTTCTTATTATTACAGCAGTCCCTTTAACATTTCTTGCAATGCTTCTATCTCTACTTCTAATTAGAGCAGTCCCTTTAACATTTCTTACAATGCAGGTTTGATGGCGATAAACTCCTTTAGCCTTTTTTTCTCTGGGAAGCTCTTTATTTTGCCATGTATTTTGAATGATAGCCTTGCTGGATGGAGTATTCTTGGTTTTAGATCCTTGCTTTTTATTACCTTGAATACTTCATGCCATTCCCTTCTGGCCTGTAGAGTTTCTGATGAGAAGTCAGTTGACAGCCTTATGGGAGCTCCTTTGTAGGTAAAGATTGCTTTTCTCATGCTGCCTTTAAGGTTCTCTCTTTGTCTTCAATTCTTGGCATTTTATTTATGATGTGTCTGGGTGTGGACCTCTTTGGGTTCTTCTTGCTTGGGACTCTGTGTGCCTCCTGAACTTGTGTGACTTTTTCCTTCACCAGGTTAGGGAAGTTTTCTGCCATTATTTCTTCAAACAGGTTCTCTAACCCTTGCTTACTTTCTACATCTTCTGGGATTTTCTATGATGCAAATATTATTATGTTTCATGTTGTCCCACAACTCCTTTAAGCCGACCTATTCCTTACTTGTTTTTTCTTTTTGGTTCTCTGATTGAGTGAGTTTTTTTCCTACCCTGTCTTCTAATTTACTCATCCGATCCTCCGCTTCCTCTAATCTGCTGTTTATTCCTTCCAATGTATTCTTTATTTCTGCTATGTGATTCTTCATTTCTGACTGGTCATTTTTCATAGCTCCCATATCTTATTTCATGCCGTTGAGCATCCTTACAATCAGTATTCTGAACTCTATACCTGATAGATTGCTTATGTCCATTTCATTTAGCTCTCTTTCTGGAGACTCCTCTTGTTCTTTCATTGGGGCCTTGTTTTTGGGTCTCCTCATGTGGGCTGCCTATTTGAGTTTGTCCCTATGTATTACATAGGCCTGCTAAGACTCTCAGTCTTTTTGGAAGATCTCTGGTGCAGGCCAGTGTCAGATGCAGTTTGTGACTGCCCCTCAGTACCCTGTTTGGAACTATCAATAACCCATGGCTTGAGGTCCCCTCTGTTGGGGCTGGGTGCTTTTGCCCCACCAAATATATGCCCACCAAAGTCTGTGTTTCCAAAGCCTGGGTCCAGAAGCAGATCAGGCAATGACTCTAAGTACTCTGAGGTCTGCCTCTGCCTGCAGGCTGGTTAATCTGATTCTCTTAATGAGCCTCAGGCTGTAGAAACTATTCTGGGTAGGGCCAGAGGTTTTCCAGCAGGGTGGGGCAGTTGCTTCCCCCTCAGGCAAAAGCTGCTTGGAAGGTAAATTTCTGCCTGAGAAAGATGTCCTCTGAAGTATGGGGGAATGATTTGGCAGTGGAATCCAGAAGCGTGCCCTCTGAGCTCTATTTCCAGAGCTCACAACCCTAGATTCTCCTCACACAAGTCCAGTCCACTCCACTCCCCCCTCCCTTTGCTGGAGCCCAAGGTGAGTGGCTGCACAGGAAAGTTTGTGTGTTGGCCCTTTAAGAAGGTGTCTGCATTTCCAGTTATCGCTCCCTGGCAGACAGAGACCTGGCTGCTTTGCACAGCCAGATGTTATGTGGGCACCTTTCTCAGTTCTGGTGCTCTAGGCTGGGGAGCCCAGCCTGGGGTTTAGGCCCCGGAGTCCTCAGTGGGAACCCCCCACAGCTGAGACATCCCTGGGGACCTTCAGCTGCTGCCCGTGGGAGCCCAGCCAGCCCTCTCGCGCCTCCGCACTCCCTACCAGTCTCTATGTGGTCTCCACTTTTTCTCCTTGGTTATGAGGGTGCTCTCCAGCTCGTCTTCAGTTGCGGTTGATTATTCAGGGATTTTTCCCCCCTCTATTTTAGTTGTAATTCCGGTTTGGTCCTGGGAGGGTGTCAGTGTAGCTTTCACTCAGTCTGNGTCTCCAGCTCGTCTTCAGTTGCGGTTGATTATTCAGGGATTTTTCCCCCCTCTATTTTAGTTGTAATTCCGGTTTGGTCCTGGGAGGGTGTCAGTGTAGCTTTCACTCAGTCTGCTGCCATCTTTAACCTCCCCAAAAATACATTTTTAAAGATTGAAGGGAAGACATACAAATTTTATTTTTCCCCATCCGTTTTTTTAATTTCAAGTATGATTTATTTGGTACATTTGTAAGAGTGATGGAATATAGGAAGAAGTGGTGATAACAAGTAGTTTGGGAAGACGTAGCAACAAAGAGTTACATAGTTAAGTTTGGCTTGTATTTTCTGTGGCATGCTAAGTTACTATTTGTCCCAGATTTTTCAGGGAAGAAAAATCTTATTCTAATACCTTATTACATTGTAAGTTTATTTTCTTAAAGTTCTTGGAAAATGTGATCACTGTAAGCATACTATTCATTTAATA